AGCTCCTAGTCAAGTGATTCCACAAGAGTCACAAGTCACACGTGTTAAGCTTGTGATTTGGGAGAGAAGCTTGGGAGTGTGAAGGGAGTAGAGTCTAAAGGCTCCCAACCCTTTCATTCCCTTTTTAACCTATTTTTTTTTTTTTTAAACCAGCTTTATGACTGCCTTATTGTTTGGGAGGACTCATGCTAGGTGATGTTGCTGTAGGGCGAGCTAGTAGGATATATTAATGATCTGCAACTAGCAGGGGAGTTTTAGGTCATAAAAAATCTCAGTCTTCCAGGTGACAGGAGATCCAGCTAGACTGTGAGCTGAACCTCTCAGGGGAGAGACTGCATCATCAAGAAAGGGAGGGGAAAGAGATCCCAGTCCCATATTCATACCATGTGAATGCTGGGCTGTAAGAAGAGTCCCGGTGTAAATGAGAGCAACTCTGAAGGCCAGAGTACATGAAATCAGAATGTTCCAGCCATGACCCCTTCCCCACCTTGGATACATCAATGCAGTCAGATTGAATGGGTGGGTTTGCTGACTTGAGGGATCCCTTATACCACTGTGGTCCTATGCTCCTGTGCACTGACCACCTGTAACACTACAGCACGTGAGCTTCAGTGCATCTGGTCTGATAGGGCCACAGGCTCTGTAATCTCCAGATATGCCATTCTATCCCACTTTTGGCCAAAGTGTGAGTAAGGTAGGGTCTACTTGGCTTCAAGGTCAGGAACAATGTATTACTCTATGTGGGCTGCTTAGAGCTAGGGAAGTCTATTATTTGCTCTTGACTCGTTGATGCGATTTAGCATACTCTGACATGTATGTGTGTTGCTTATCCTTTCTGTACAGTACCTAGCACAACAGAGCCCTGAACCTGGATGCTATCACAATGAATAAACAATATGAATAATGCACATAAATAATTATGCAGATAGCAGATAATGATATTATGTGCTCAGACTATTGCACATACCGTTAAGGCCAAAAAAATGGTATGAAAACAGCCCCAAACCAAAGGATTTAATATTCTTAATTGTTTATTTCCCAGCATATATACATATTTGTGCAAGTATATGCATTGATTTATCATGGTGTGCATGCATGCATACCGGTGAGGGAATGTGTGCAAAAAAGTGTTTCAGACATGTATTCAATCACAATTGTTTCTACACTCTAGAGCAATCAAACATGCATCCTGGCCCAAAGTTGTGCACACATTCATCTATAAGAGGCCAAACAGGTTCCCATGTTGGTACCGGCTCCTGCACATAGATGCTCATGTTCATTTATAGACCTATGTGCAATCAGGGGCATTTTCAGGAGTTCAGCGTTGGTCTAGCTGCACCTACTGAACTCCATGGGACTGCTCACATGAATTGAGTCACTTGTATGTGTATAGAGTTGATCAACGCCTCTAGGGCCATTAGCTGCAGCAGAGCCCCCATAGGGATCAAACAGAACGTGTTGCAGTGAAAATTTAGAATGGGAAATGTGAGGCCATCGAAACCATAGAGGCAAAGTGCATAACGACACCTTAATTTCACTTTCTCGTCCTGTTAGATTTCTAGAGTCCTAACGTTGGGTCCTTTTTATTGCACATTCGGATGTCAGCAGGTCAACAGGAGCCGTTCATGCCGAGACGTATTTCCCCTTCAGCAACGATACATGCTGGACAGCCCAAGGCCAGTGAATCGCAGTTTCCACACGCTGACCCATTTGTCCCCACTCCCTTTTATATTTTTGGAACAATAATTGTAGTTAAATTAGAAACGGCCTACGGGCGAATCTAGTCAGATGGAAAGAAAATTGCGGGAGATGTATTTTATTTTGATAAAAAGCAAAGCAGCAAAAACTGATGCCACCTTTTTGTTTTTGTCAAAAAATTGCCTATATATATTTTTTTTTCTTTCCCTCCCCCTTGTGCCATGAATTGTGAAATCCATCATGAAATGGGTAAAAATTATTGAAGGAAATGGTGGTGTTAACCTGAAGGGGAAAATCATTAATGTTGATGTATTTCATTCAATTTTAACTTTAGCATTTGTTTATTTATTTATTTGTGGTGTTGAGGAAATAGGGAACGGATACAGGAGGCCTGCCAAGGCATTTCTGTGCCTTAAAGTCAAAACATCTATTTAAAAAAATACTCTTCCCTCCTACGCCTTGATCCATTTTTCTAAATCAAGGATATGAGTTGTTGTTGTTGTTGTCGTTGGGTTTGTTGGGTTGTTTTTTGTTTTTTTTTTCCCAAGCAAAGTGCACCCCCTCGGCATATTTTTCTTTTCAAATGTGAAATGAGGTGGAAAATCCTCATTTCACGACAGGAAGGACAAATATTGACACGAAGTTAATATTTGTCAGAAGCCCTGGAAGCAACCTGGGTGTTTAAAACATAAAAATACAAATAAAAATAAATTAAATAAAATAACAAACTTGATATGAAGGGTTGTGAATGTGCAAAAAAAAAAAGGGGGAATTTATTGTCTGAAGGGAAGGAAATAGATAGGCCAGGCGAGCGCACACTCACCGCTATGTCACGCATGCGCAGGGGTCCCTGACACCCCTGTCTCACATGGGGCTTTCTCTCCCTACTAGATGTAAACACACACACTTTCCTCTCTCTTTCTTTCTAAGATGCATTTATATACACAAAAATGCTCACACTTGGTCCCTTCTTATCTCCCTCTCACACCCTGTACACCTTTCTTCTCCCTTTTCTCTCTCCCATGCAACTTCTCTCTCTTTCTCCCTCTCTCTCTCTCTTGCACACACACACATGCACACACAAATATAACCTGTTTAATCTAATTTCACCCATTTAGAAGGAGGGCTTCTGGAATTTATCACTGTTATTGTTCATCTCCAATGTAAATAGCCCATGTCAGCCCAATATTCAGTGGTCACTCAGTATTTATTAAGTCCTGTCCACTCTGGCCTTCTTTAGAGGAAAGCCCCGGGGCAGATTAACTGCTGCCCCTGACACGCCATGTCACTTATCTATTCGCATTGATTATGAGAGTCAGCTGTGACCAGGCCTCACTTTTCCCTGCTTCTCCCAGCCCTCTCTTACAAGCACCCCTGCTTGGATTTTCATGAGGAAATAATCAGATTAGGCCTTCAGCGGCGAGTTCATATGGAGTTCTCTTTCTCCAATGTGCTACTAACTGAATAAACGTGTTTTGTGGTAAATTGTAAATGACATTATGATTACCAAGGCCAGCATGGGTTTCATTTAAAAGTGATCGAAATTGCAGGCCACAGAAATTGTGACTGGCAGATAAGGCCATTTGGAAGAAGGTGAAGGGAGGGGGACGGGGGGAAAGTAACTGTGACTCCACAACCCAGCTTGGCTGGGAAAGGAACAGGGCAAAGGAAAGTCCTAGGGATGATAAAATACAAGCAAGTCCCATTTATAGACAAGAGAAATGTCATGGGAAGGGCGGGGGAGGATGACTTGGATGTTTCTGGGAGAGCAAATGATAAGATCTGTCAGGCTTTGTGGCCTGCCTGCTGTACTGTGCATGTCCCCTACGCTTCGAGATAATAAAGAATAGCTCTTATTGGTGTAGTGCTTCCGAACAAAACTGTTTCCCTCTCCTCTCCTCGCGCCCTCTTGCATTTAGTGTTAGCCAAGCACTTGGACTGATGAAGGAACAACACTGGCCGCTCAATGTCCAAATAGAGAATCCTAAAATAATAGAAAACGAGGGTGGGAAGGGAGCTCAGGAGGTCACATCTAGTCCAACCCCCTGCTCCAAGCAGGACCAGCCCCAACTAGATCTTTGTCAAGCTGGGTCTTAAATAGCTGACTTTCCATGTGCTCTCTTTGCTTTCCTCTGTGATGTGCACAGAAAGGGTCTACTAACTGGTCCCATCTGAAGAACCCCTTTGACTTAAAGGCACTTCCACAGTCCAAGCATAAAGAGCAAGCCAGCATGGATTTCATGCTGTGGATGTTACCCTGCGTGTGAATGCAGGGTAACATCCACAGGAGGCTGCACAGTAGTCTCATTATCAGACTGTGGCTTTCCCATGGCAGAGAGTTGCACAGTTATAAACTGGTGAGTCCTTCTGTCCATCTCAATGTCTGACCTCTCATTAGGTACCACCGTATGTCATGCGGGGAAGCAAATAGGAGGGTCTTATTTACTTCATTTCCCCCTTCCTTGTCTAATTCTGTGCTTCTGTTCTGACTTCTTCACTGGATTAATCCAGCGTCTCTTTTTATATCTCTAACAGTCTTTCCTGGTTTTTTTCCAGGGTCTTATTTTCCCCACAAGCAGGCTGGGAACAAAGAAGGGGATCATAGTTGGCTAGGTGTCAGTCAGAATTGGAGACATGTAAGGAGGAGGAAGTTTTTTGCTTTTAACTCTATACAGGCTGCCCAGGTCTTGCTTCAAGGCACTGTGAAAGTGCACAGGACTGTGAAAGGCAGGACGGGCAGGTAATATCCGGGGCTTGGCTGCACCCCACAATATAAAGACCCATAGAGCTAATCAGTGCAAGGGTGGGAAAGAAGGCAGGAAGAGGTTAATAGCTGGCTAAAATAGCAATTTAGTTCCAGTTTCTGGCAGAGAGGGGAAAAAAGCCCTGAGGCTTTCTGGGGATGTTCCTTGAAGCATCTTACCAGTATGCTATTCCAATTCATGAGCTGTTTTTTAGGACAATTCAAGCCAGTACAAGGGATGATTTTGCATGTGAAGCAAGGAGGGAAACAATATTGCAATATAAAGAGCCTCTTAAAGAACACACACCTTGCTTGGCTGGATGCACACCTTGCTGGGGTTGTTTCGGAGCAGGGGGGCTGGACCCGACGATCTCACGAGGTCCCTTCTAACCCTAAACTTCTGTGAATCTGTGAAAAGAGCAATGATTTGAATCAGGCTGTTTGAGAGAAACAGTTCTTGGCATCAAGTATACATAACAGCACTGAATTGGGAATATTCGGTATTAGGTGGCATCTTGGCATGGTAGATCTCCCTCTCCTTTTTGTTGTTTGTAAACAGGTATATACAGAGATGATAGCAAGTGTGTCTACAAGCCTTCAACCCAAGGCTACTTCTGCAAGGAAACGGACCATGTACTTTTGATCCTGGAAAGCTTGGAAGTAGATGCTGATGGAGAGAGGCCATCTCCAGTGGTGTCAGTGACTGGCAGTTTTGTGGAGTCCTTCAGTGCATCAGCTTCACATTCATCTTGCTGCTCCTCAGGACATCCACAGTCATTTTATTCTGTCTTGCCATCCAACAAGCTCACTAAGGTTTGCTTTGCTGGTCCAACACCTTTGACCATGAGACTCCACCTCAATAGTGGCCAAAGCTTTACCAGACTTTTCCTAGCTGTATTCTACAATGAACCCCAAAGCCTTCACGTTTTCAGGCAAGGAAAATACATCCCATCCACCTCATCTTTTCATTCATCTGATGCTGTGGCAGGCACCAACTATTTCAGCTTTGAGGACAACCTTCTGTACATCCTGCTTCATGGAGATGAACCTGTAGAAATCTACACAAGACGTTCCCTTCTTATTGCTTTTACCATAACCACGACCATTGGAGAGGAGGAGCAGATAAATGCGGTCCATCACCTGGCTGATTTTTTACAGATTGGCCGTGAACTGGTCAGAATAGTTCACAATGGGGCAGGGAGTGAGAGCACATTAAAGGTTATCTCAGCCAATGCCAGAAAGAGGAGACGTCTGTGTCCAACTATGACATCTTGCATGGCTTTTCATAGCAGGGATGACTGGGAGAACACTTGGGCAGGGCCAACGAGCATGAGGAGGCTATGGCCTTCTGGTACAGCGACCTCATCGAGTGTGATGATCATCGAAGTTGGGGACCCACCAAGCCTTGTGAGAAATAGCCTTGTTTCTTCCTTGTCTGATGAAAGGCTGCAGAGCTTGGCCAGTATTCTCATCATTGCTCATCAGACTGGGGAGCTTCAGGATGTCCTGGATATACCAACTGATACTTTAATGCTGATGTGGTCCGCCTCCCCATCACCAGAAGGATGTAGTGGTCGGTAAGTATGCTTCATAGCGTTGGAAGGTGATGGTGGTGGTGATCATTAGTTTTTAACCAAGAGTATTTAACCAAATAAGAGTATTTAACCAGGCCAAGTTCCAGGAGATGTAATAAGTTTTCCACCACTTAGAGCAGGACTCTCCAGCAGGTGGCCTGTGCATTGCATATGGCCTGGAAGGACCCCTTGGAGTTGCCCAGGTCCCCCTTTCTCCTCCAGTTTGCACTGCCTGTCCCTGGGGTTGGAACAGCATGTCCAGGGCTCTGCAATCCAGCGAGTGAGACAGTGCAGTAGCAAGGGAGCCAGTAACCCCCATGGATGTGGCCCTTGGGACATAATATTCCCCAGCTTCTGAGAAGTTGAAAAGCCCAAATTTAAGAGTCCTTAAGGCAAGGCAGGAAGTTTCTAAAAAATCATGCCTCTTTTCAACCACAAGGCAGGAAGTTTCTCAAAAATCATGTCTCTTTTCAACCACAAGCAGCTAGGCTGGGTCCAATAATTTCTGGGTTACATGCCATGGTTGGTGTTGTATGGGAGGTCAGACTATATGGGCATAATGGTTTCTTCTGGCCTTCAGATCCATTAAATCTGTTTGATACAGTGCCAGAGATGCACATAGTGCATTATAAGCAGGTTTCCACCCTGAAGATCTTAGACATTAAGATTCATGGCCTTAAAGGCTAGAAGACACCCTTACCTATCATGCTTGTATACCTAAACCTTTATATATCTGAGGTCAATACATTTTACCACCAATGGAGTTTGACTAATGCATTTCTTTCCAAAAGGTATCTAGTCTAAAAATATCAGGAGATGGAGAATCTAGCTCTTCTCGTCGTAGTTTGTTCTAATGGTCCATCACTGTTAAACAATTATGCCTAAATCTTATTTTGAATTTGTCTGGTTTCAGCCTCTGGTCTTTGGCTCCTGTTTTTAATGTCTTTGTCAGAATAAAGAGCCTTTTGGTATCTGGTCTTTTCCCCTGGGAGAGGCTCTTCTGTAATCAAGTCACCTCAAAGTTTTCCTTTTGACAAATGGAACAGAGAGTGCTCTCTAACGCTCTTACTCTTGAGCATTTTTTCTAGCTCTGAAGCCATTTTTTTTTTGGCTCTTTTCTCTAACCTCTCCAATTTTCAATATCCTTTTTAATATTGAAGATCAATATGCATGTGCAGGATTCTAATATTAGTTTCACCAATGACATCTACAAAGGTAAAGCTACCTTCTTACTCCTACTCATGGTTCCCTGGCTGATATAGTCAATGATCGCATTAGCCCTGGTTCTTCCACATAGCACTTGGAGCTCAGATTCATTTGTTTGTCTACTATGATCCAAATCCTTTACAGAGTCATAACTTTCCAAGATACAGTTCCTTATTCTGTAGGTACGGCCTGCATTCCTTGTTCCTAGGTGAAAGACTATATATTCAATTGTATAACAATGCACTTGATTTGAATAGGCCCAGCCTACCAGTTGTTCCAAATAGCACCTGATGACAACTCTATCCTTATCCTTGTTTACCTCTCCAACAGTCTCTGTCATGCAAAAATTTCATCAGCAATGAGTTTATACTTCTTTCCCAGATCATTGATGAAAATATTGGCTCCAACTAACTGCCTCTGAACTGCAGTAGAAACCCTTTCATACAATGATTTCCCAATGACAAATGGTTTTTGTGATCTGTCAGTCATCCAGTCCCTAATACATTTAATGGGTGCTCTGTTGGTATTGTATCCTGCTAATTTTGATGGCAAAATGTTGTTTTCTACTAAGCCGTACGAAAATAAATTACACCTATAAAGATACCTTTTTTAATCAATCAAGAATTAAATCAGCTTTGCTTGACAAGACCTATATTCTGTATAACCACCTTGGCCAGTCTTAATTGTATTTCAGCCATTCAGTACTTTTATCACTGAATCTTATTTGAGCTTGAAGTTTTTCAGCTGTCGAACCTGCAGACACGTATGCATGCACTTCATTTTACTATAATTGGTAGACTAGGGCCATCTCATAGACAGTGGCAGCAATCCCTCAGTTCAAGGATGATCTCTGCTACAGCTTATTGATGGGTCTTGAGGTGACTAGGGCTGGCGGTGCTAGTAGAGTTAAGCACATGTGCAAATGTTTTCAGGCGAGGGGTGTAGGGGCCTTGAGTACTCCTGGTCAGCATGGAAAGTTTTTAACTTCAGTGGGACTCCAATCAGGGATACTTGTTTGCAGGACAAACAAATCAGGGCCAAACCTTCAAGACATTTATTACTGACTGCACTATTTATTATGGTGTGGAGTAACACTGATTTCAGTGGGGTACTATTCGTGGTACTAAATCCTGCATCAGGTAGTCATTTGTTTGCAGGATTGCACATTTAAACATAAACCTGATAGGCAAGATTTACATCCTATAAAATTGAGTGAAACATTTTATAGAGTTTAAAAGAGATTGAATCCCCTCTCCATGAGCTGGTTGATGGTGATGATGATGATAACGATGGTAATAGGAAACCCCTTTATCTAGAGCTATCTCTAATTGTATGGATTTTACATGTATTTTTGGATTAATTGCAATAGACTCTAATACATCTACACAGTCTGTCTTGTTGCTTCTTCAATAAACTCTGCAGGTCACAGGGGCTAGGGGCAGACATGGCATGTGTCTGTGGACAAGTTGCACCTGTGTTTGTCCCAGAACAGAAATATCCCGGGATTGGCATGCATACACATCGCTCTTTGAATCAGGGTTTAGTGAACAGCTGAATGCACTGCCACTTTTCTGCCATCGATCCAATGATGCAGCCTTGGGATAGATAACTGTTCAGCTGCACTTTGTGATGTTGTGGGCTGAACTGTTAGTACTCCTTATTCTTCCCTGGCACTTGCAAGTTGGCAATGGGGGTGGAGTGAGCCCAGCAGTGAGGGTAGACTGTGTAGGTCTGATCCCTTGGGTTAGGGATAGTTGATCTATGATCACTTGGGAGAGGAAAGAACAGAGGTAATGTGATAGAAGTCTATAGGGAATCTGTATACAAATGTGATGGTTGCCGTACCAAGGGTAAAAATATTTGCTGCAATGTCTTGAACTGAAAAGCCAGGCAGTCTAGCAGGGACCATGATGGATGCTCAGCCTGTGCAAATCAGTGACGGGGGCCCCTGTAACATACACTTATCATCAAGTTACACAAACACCACCAAATATGAGGCAACCTGGGCTTTAGATCCCTTCTTCACTGCACGAGCTCCTCTGTGGTGTTATTTATTACTTCCCATCAGTCATTGCCTTCTGGCGTCCCTTATGGCTGACACTTGTGATATAATAAGGCCCTGTCTAACTTATAAAATTAAATCAGATATTTCCTGTTGGGGAGTAATGTCCCCTCTGTCTAGTTCCCTTTAGACAGTACACACCAGCACAGGCAGGGATAATGGAGTCGGGATAATGAGAGACGATGTCCCTCTGTGTACTTTTCCATACAAAGGGATAAGGTGTGGGGAAAGGATTTTTTCACACCTGTATCCAGTTGAACAGATCTTCAGGGCAGATATAGCAGGCTATGCTGCAGTATGGCTAATAGCCCTGTAATGTGAAGCCTGTGGCTCTCCCTGCTTCACAGTATGTGGGCTTAATTCTTCATAACCCAGGACAGAATGACTTAAAGGTGAATTTTGTGGCCCTAGCCAAGCCAGTGCAGCCTGACAACACATCTATTTATCTGATTTCCTAAATTGTTTACATATTCCTCTATATCTCATATATATAATCTCAATTGAGATATAAATAATATTCTATCTATCTATCTATCTATATTGATTTATATATCTATATACCTATACACATTAATCTCATATATATATTATCTCAATTGAGATATAAATAACATTTTATATATATATCAATGTCGATACAGATATAATCTCAGAGATCAGATAAACAAGTACACACATACATACAAACACACCCATACCAGGTATGTAGATACATATGTATGTATTTATGGGGGTGTGTATAGGCATGCACATGTATAAATATTTGTGTGTGTGTGTAGTAATGATCCTCAACTCATGTCTCATGGCCAGCATGTTGTCCATGAGAAGTTCTGACACTGCTCATTGCCACAGAAAACCAATAAAGTTAAAACTGTGGTGACAGGCAATGCGCAGACCAGTGTTGCCTGCGGCACCTTAGTTGCTCAGTGTTGTTGCTCACAGGCAAAGGCTGGGATCATTAGCGGATAGGATCTTAGTAACATAGGATGAGAAGGGACATCAAGGTGTCTTTTTTCTCTTCCCCTTACTCTGAGGCAGGATACCTAGACCATCCCTGACAGGTATTTGTCTAATCTGTTATACGTGGGGTCGGCAGAAATGAATAATTCTGTTTTGAGGGCAGGGTTAGTTATAGTGCACTCAGCTGGGCTGACTTCCTATCCTCAGCCTGATTGTAGGGCTGCGGAGGGGAACTGAGTGATCGGGCTCAGTTCCTTTCCCCAGCCCGACCGCAGCACTTGGGAGGGGAACTGAGCCCGGGCTCAGTTCCCTTCCCCTGCACTGTGATTGGCTTCCCACAGCCCAGTGGCAGGAGACAGGAAGAGCCAGGGCTCTGCTCCCGGGTGCTGCTGGGAGCACAGCCCTGGCTCTCCCCTGTCTCCCACCACCTCACTGCTGGCTGCTTTGAAACTCAAAACATTTAGAAACTTTTGAAACATTTTGACTAGCCTCATTTTGTTTCGAGGCTGTTTCGAAGCCCTTCATTTCGATTTGATTTCTCTGTTTCGAGTTCGAATTGAGTCGAAAAAGTGTCGAATTGAAACAGTCGGCAAAATTTCACACGGCCCTACAGGACACGATTTTGTCATGTAATGAAAGGCTCATCAGAATGGAAAACTATTAGGGACCTGAGTTCATTTTCTGGGCAACCCTAATACTGGCCTTCCTGTCTTTGCAGTGGGTGGCCTTGTGACTGTAAGATGCTTTTACAGCAGTCTTTTCTAAGTAATTTCCT